GGAAACCAATGAATAAAACAAAGGGACAACCTAACAAGACTAGGAAGAAAATAATTTAGCAAACGATGAGACTGACAAGGGCTTAATTTCCACAATGCACAAACAACTCATACAACTCAAAAAAACAAAACAAAACGAAACACAAAAACCCAATCAAAAACTGGGCAGAAGACCTAAACAGATCCTTTCTCCAAAGAAGGCATACAGATGGCCAACAGGCACATGAAAAAATGCTCAATGTCACTAATTATAAGACAAATGCAAACCAAAACTGCAATAAGGTATCACCTCACACCAGTCAGAATGGTCATGATTCAAAAGTCCACAAATGACAAATGCTGGAGAGCCTGTGGAGAAACGGGAATCCTCCTACGAGGTTGGTGGGAGTGCAGTTTGGTGTAGCCACTATGGAGAACAGTATGGTGATTCCTCAAAAGACTAGAAATAGACTTATCACAGGAGCCAGCAATCCCACTCCTAGGTATATACCTGGAGGGAACTCTAATTTGAAAAGACACCTGCACCCCAATGTTCACAGCAGCACTATTTACAATAGCCAATACATGGAGGCAACCTAAATGTCCACGACTGATGACTGGATAAAAAAGATGTGGTATATTTATATAGTAGAATACTACTCAGCCACAAAAAAAGAATAAAATAATGCCATTTGCAGCAACATGGAGGGGACCCAGAGATTATCATACTAAGTGAAGTAAGTCAGACACTGAAAGACTAATAATATTACATATTACTTATATATGAAATCTTAAAAAAAATGGTACAAATGAACTCATTTACAAAACAGAAATAGTCTCTCAGACATAGAAAACAAACTTATGGTTACCAAAGGAGAAAGGGGTGGAGGGATAAGTTAGGAGTTTGGGGTTAATGTATATAAAACAGACAACCAACAAGCGAGGGAGGGGATCTGGCACTGGGAATGTAAGCTGGTGCGGCCGCTGTGGAAAATGGCAGGGGGAGTTCTCAAAAAATTAAGAACAGAGCTGCCACATAATCCAGCAAGTCCACTTCTGGGTATTTAACCAAAGAAATTGAAACACTAATTTGAAAAGGCACGTGTACCTCAAATGTTCACAGCAGCATGACTTACAATTACCAAGATATGGAAGCAACACAAAGTGCCCATCAACAGACAAGTTGATCAAGTGGATAAAGATGTGATTTTACACACACACACACACATACACACAGATGACTACTACTCAGCCATAAAAAAAAATGAAATTCTGCCATTTCCAAAAACATGGATGGGCCTGGAAGGTATTATGCTAAATGAAATGTCAGAAAAGAAAAACAAATACTTTACGTTATCACTTACATGCAGAATCTAAAAAAATAAAACAAACGGAAGGTATGAAAAAAACACCCACAGACTCACTGACAGAAAAGAAACCAGTGGTTACCAGCTCGGCGGGGGAGGGGCCAGGGTGGGGGATAAAGATTTACAAAGTACTCTGTATAAAAAAAGACACACGGGTGTGCTGTGCAGCAGAGGGAAATGGAGCTGACAGTTTGTAACGTTCAGTGGAGTATGACCCATAAGAAGTTTGAATCCCTGT